CGGTCCACCTTGTGGGGGTCAGCCAACGCTGCGTCTCCCGGTACTTGGTCGCCACTCCAGGACCTTTCCGCCCCAACGGTCGTCAATCCTGCGAGCGATGTGCCCTGCCTAATGCCACTTGAGGTTCGCAATTCTTTGGGCTATGTCGGTGACTTTCAATCTCATCATTTCTGATTCGATCTCAAAAAGAAACCTCGAGCATAGCCCTTTCCATTGCCCTCTGAGCGACCTTGAGCTTCCTTATGAGGCCCATCGTAAGCGGCCACGGTAGATGTTCTGAGAATACACTGAGTAGCTTCCCGAACGCTGACCAGCCGAGTTGGATCCGTCGATTGACCTCTCTCTGGAAGTTACCTAATCGGACTATTTGTCCCAGGTAAACGTACTCGTCGTAATATTCACTGGAGTAGATACAACATGGGAGTTTGACATTATTTTCGTCTTCTCCATGTTCATTTTAAGACCCACTTGTTGGGAAACTACAGAGGTCTTCGAGCATTGTGCCTAGATCTTCCATGGTCTCAGCCCCCATAGCAGAAGGGTTTTGATCTGTCTGCGACAGATTATAAAAACCTGAAAATAAAATTCTGTTTCTGCTAGTGTAATTTTTTTATTTATGTAAGACTGCCGAACCGTCTGCAGACCTACTCGGCTGTCTGCGACAATGTCGCAGTGTCGCTTGTTGTTCTGCCTTGGGGGTCTCAGCCATGACTACGATATGCTGATGATATCGTAGTCATGGTATATCAAATATATGATATATCTGATGATATATCAAACGATGGTGCGTTATGTACTCGCCGTTTATATTGATGCCAAGTCCTCTCCAGTCCAAAAGCTTAAACACGTCCTCCGGTGCGGGAGTGAACAGATTCGGCGATATAACATCGCCCTGTCTCACTCCACGCTGAAGTCGTATTGCTTTCGAGTTTTGGTCCTGGAGTCGAACTGACATGGTGGCGTTTTCATACAGTGACTGCAACACTTGGATGTATCGATAGTCTATTTGGCACCTCTGGAGTGACCTTAGCACGGCCCAGGTCTCGACGGATTCAAAGGCTTTCTCATAGTCCACAAACGCCTAGCAAAGTGGCAGATTATACTCTTCGGTCTTCTGTATAACCTGTCGCAGCGTATGAATGTGGTCTATGGTACTGTAACCTTTTTGGAAACCGGCTTATTCCACAAACGCCTAGCAGATGTCAAATCTACTGTGGGTGGAAGTCGTCAAATCTACGTGTGAGACGATTCGTGATGACCTTCGAAAACAGCTTGTACACATGACTCGGAAGCATGGTTGGTCTGTAATTCGTTAATTGGGCCCTGTCGCCCTTTTTGAAGAAAACCACCACGCTGCTGTGCCATGCTTCTGGCGTACTGCCCTCGAGTATGGCGGAGTTAAATAGCTTCTAAAGCGCTTTCTGGACTGGTAGTCCACCCGCTTTCAGAAGCTCCGTTGTGACTCCGTCATCCCCCGGTGCCTTGTTGTCCTTGAGCTGTTTGAGAGCCATACTAATCTCGTATAGACTGTGACGTCCGGGATGTCTTCGGTATAATGTCGGGTTAATTTGGCTCTAGGGTCTGTAGTAGACATGTGCGCCGATGCCGAAATCTTCGGCGGCGGTGTGGAGCTAAAAATTCAGTGGCGGCGGCGTAAATGGCGGCGTAAACGGCGTCGTTATGTCAAATAATAGAAAATTTAAAGTTTAACAACTTAGAATGCCTTTATTGGCATAACAAATATAAGACTAATAACACCTTTTAAGTAACAATCAAATATGGTACAACTATGTTCTTCTAAATAATATAACGTAGTCATAATGATATTAAACAACAATTTTCGGCAATCCATGGTCATGGGTTTAAGTCCCATCTGAGAATGCCGGGGACAAAGTGGATTTTTTAAGCATTTTTCATTCAGAATATAATTCTAAACATTTTTAATAAAAACACTTACATTTGACTAAAGTATGTAGGTACTATTTTGTTCGGTAAATATTTGCTGTCTTGTAGTCAAGGACATGATCCCATTGCTATAAAGATTTTGGGGCTTCTAATCAAGAAACCGCGACAAGTGGTTTTGACAATCCTCGTGTTATAATAATCTGACACTGTCTAAAGAATTCTGGAGAGACCTAAACAGGTGGAAATTTGAAGGTGCAAAGTCAGGACTATACGGTGGGTGCATTAACACCTCCCAGCCAAACTCTCTTATTTTAATGAAAAGCCAACCCCCTTCTATTGATTAATTCTGGTTGCTTTCTCTCAACTTCTTGCTTTAATCTCATCAGTTATTCCCAGTAGAGTCCAGAATGGATGGTCCTGCCTGGCGGTAACAGCTCTTAATGAATAATGCCCTTCCGAACCCACCATACAAACAGCATCACCTTTTTGCCAGTTAACCCGGGTTTCGCCACAGTCTGTAAAGCCTGACCGTCCTTTGACTACGATTTTTTTCGCATGTTCTTGTCGTACGTGATCCAGTTTTTAACATCAGTTATCAGCTTCTTCAAAAATGGTTCGGTTTCATTACACCACAATAAAGAATCACAAAAGAGTACACGGTTCATTAGATTTCTTTCAGTGAGCTCGGCTTCGTCGCAACTACTGATATACCGGTCTTGCTACATTTTTAAAAATGGCACCCATTTTATTCATAACAGGGCGACCGGAGCGAAGTATTTTTAACATCAAAATTTCCGGACTGAAAACCCTTTAACCAAATTTGTGCTACTCTCACAGAAACTGCACTAGGTTCACAAATGTCACAAATTGTTTTCCCGGGTTCCGTTACATTTTACCTTTTTATAATAAAATTATAAAATGTATCTAAGTTCAAGTCATTTTAACAGTAAGAAAAAAAAATGAAAATCACACATTTTCCTAATTTGAATTCGAAATCTTTTTTCAAATTTAAACTTTTTAATGATGCCGAAACCAGCCACATAGAAATAGTATAGCCAGAAAGTGTTTATCACAACTTTATGCATACTATATGGGAAAAGACTTTTTCCCCACCCTAATAGTTATCTATCATGTAAAGAAATAATTTTATTGTTTTTTTTCTTTTAATTTTTAAGGGGTTTTTATTCTTTAGAACATGCCAACCCCATCATACCATATTTAAATCTAAATTCATTTTATAACAATATTTCACTAGTTAATTTTTAACTTTTTAGTAAGACTAGCTACAGAGAATACACGTTCGCTAGGTATGCTTGTAGCGGGTTAGCTAAAGTAGACAAAAAAGACATCTTGTAAACGGGTGCTACATTAATTGTTCAAGATTTCATTGTTGAAAGCTGTAATGAAAGAAGAAAGCTTCGATTGTTTATTCGTTTGCATCTGATCATTCACTTTACTTTTGTATCCATTAAAATTTTACTAGATATGGAAATACGGATGGAATACGAAACTGAATTAACCGCAGAGGATACATAACGTTGCTTATCCCATCTCGCGCCGTTTACGCCGATCTTTATTACCGGTCAGCGGCGGCGTGTCATGATCGGCGGCGTCGGTCATCGGCGCGGCGCGGCGCACACGTCTAGTCTGTAGCCTCAATGACAGGTTTCTGTGATGTTGCGTATAATTGTCCATAGAAGCGTTCGATCTCCACCACATGCTCAGGACGGGATGTAACGACTCTGCCGTCCTCTGTCTTCAGCTTTGTCAGCAAGCTCTGACCGAGAGACAGATCTCTAGCGAACACTTTGGAACCGTTATTCCGCTCAATCGCCTCCTTAATACATTGAGTATTAAATTGGCGTATGTCGCGTGTGAGAGACTTCGAGATCTGTCTGTTGAGTTTCCGACGAGCATCTTCAGAAGACTGCAGAACCATTCCACGCCTTTCTTCCATTAGCTTACTTGTATGCTCCGAGATCTTGCTTCTTTTTTGAGTACGGCGAGGTTTGAGAAATTTTGAACCCACCGTAAGGACAGCTTCTACGACCCTGTCATTGTATTCGTCCACTTCCGAGCAGCTCTCCAGGCAATCGAAGCGATTTTGAAGCTCTAGCTGAAAGTGCTCGGGGTCCTGGATCTGGGTAGCTTCAGGACGGAGCGTAGATTTCACCAGTCGATATCGTTCGGCTTTTACGTTTAGATTCAATGCGCCTCTTACCATACGGTGATCGCTTCCGGTATTAAACAAATTGATCACTGAGACGTCATTGAATATCCGAGTCTTAGTCGGTATGATGAAGTCAATCTCGTTTTTTGTCACCCCATTCGGACTCTTCCAGGTCCACTTTCGATGCAGCGTTTTTTGAAGAAGGAGTTCATCATATAGAGTCCCTCCCTCTCCATGTTGTCGGCTAGCATTTGACCACGGTGATTCCGGATCCCAGATCCAAATTGTAATAACCATTCAATCACATCTTCGATAGGTACGTCATACCAAAAAAAACATTACAGACTGTTCTCATTCTTTTGCTTCATTTATCTTTCGCAGTGTACAATAAAGGATATTATTATTGATTAAAAGATAATCACCACTGTCATAGGTAATTTTTTTTTTTCTTAGAACCTTATTTGTGATTGTTGCTTCAATAGTTTTGCATTGAAGGTGCTGTAAGCAAAGGAATATCCTGTTGAGAATCTACTATTTTTTTTCGGACTTGTCCATATTAATTTTAATGATTACAAATTATGTTGCAGAAGCAGCAAAGTGATTTCGTGAGCTCTGAAATTTCGGAAATCAGAGACTGTATGCTTAAAAGTACGTAACGGATTTAGATGCGGTTTTTTTTCATAGATAAGGTGATACAAAAGGAAGGTTTTTATGTATGATCTTCGGTGAAGCCGCTGGTAGAACGCTAGTATTAAATAAATTAAAAAAGAATGGAGATCGACTTTCACGATTTTGGTGGTTAAAAATCTGAATTCATCCTTTCAGTGGTCCACTCATTGCCAACCGTTGGATCGCTGAGTCGCTGTATTTTACAATTTGCAATTTCTAGACATCTTTAAAGTATATTATTATTTGTTACAGGTAGATCGTGAAAAAATAGGAAATTAGCCACGGAGCGCTCAAGTCCAGCATTAACTGGTGCCTCACATCTCAATGAATTATATATGCCAGTTTTGGCCAATGAAAATGCAAGGTAAGTTATTAAACATAATTCCCGTTGAAACTGAAAATCATTGTTTTTCAACTGAGTTCAAAACAGGTTTCAATTTTGGCAATGGCGCAATGTTCATTCATTCATTCACAACATTATTTTATTTTTTATGAAAATCTTAAATCGATTCACAAAACATGTCTACATACTAAATGTCAACTGTGTAGTGCTATTAGTTTCGGAATAATGTGGTTGTGATATGGACGGACACAGACAGACATAACAAATCTAGAAGTGTTCCGTTTTCTGCCATTCGGCTACTGAACCCTAAAATGATTCCTGAACCCAATCAACCAATACTAATGAACATAATAATACAAAGGCTATACCTACCATATTTATCCGGGAATGAGATACATAGTTACAAGGGATGAAAAAGTGGTGAATTTGAAACGTAATTTTGTATTTTTTTTCTATTGGTGAAGTAATTTCTTGTTTTTAACCTTTTTAGTGCAATCGATAGTGTAGTTTTTTTATCGTTAATCCCGGGTTTTTTGGCCATAATTTGTCCAAAATCAATTGATAGTTCTGTCGTTTTTGGTGTAGATTATATTTATATGTGATTTGTTTGTTATTCATATTACTACATTATTGTGTTCAGCAGTAAGATAATATATAATTCACGAGAAATCTATTGACAGCTAGAATCTTATTTTCTCTGATGCCATCCTAAATCCAAATCCAAAAAGGTAGTGTATAGAGTTGAGGAAGATAATGCCGTACAACAAAACGTCTTGTACGGCTCATACGTGAATTGGTTACAAACGAAGATTTGTCAATATATTAATTGTAAAATTTGCTCTATTTTGCAATTTCCACACTATCTGAACCCTTTGCGGGTTACATAAACAATAGAAGTGCAAAAGTGACAACAAATATTAAAACCAAATATTCTTTTGGATTCACTAGTTATGGGCTTTCACAAGGTTGACGTCTTGATTGTATTACAGTTTTTCACCCTGCGTCGGATTTTATTTAAATTTTATGCTGTATGATGGATGTTGCAATAATCTGATACGCAATGTATCATCCTGCGCAGGAGCTTTTAGTTTTATTATAGCAGTATCCGCAGCAGTAGATACCTCCAAAGCGTAATTTTACCACAGGACATAAAATTTGTTCCTTTTTCATTGGAGGCTAAAGCTAGAGGTTGTCGGTAGTTTGTATATCCGATGCATTTCCAACAATAATACAACATTGTTTATTGTTCTTTATAACAATGATGGTTGTTTTACTTTTGGCTAGATTGAGTTTTCTTGGTGACTTGTGTTTTGGAACATCCTTTTAAATAAACGTTACGTGTTTAGGTAAATATTTATAAAACAAACTAAAAGCAGTGATCTGTTGAAACTGAATAATTTTCATTGTTAAATTTGAAATTAGAGGAACATTATTCATTAAATGTACTTTGATATGAAAATGTGAACGGCAATTATGGCGACATGGCGACGGCAGCAGCGACAGGCGGTCTCCATGACGACATCGGAGGCAGAGCCCCGGCGAGTGCGGGCCCGATCAATCCCGGGTAGAGGAAGCCCCGCCATCAGCGGCGCCGCCACTGTCGGCCTTCGCCGCGCACTCCTACCGCGCACTACGCACCTCTTTAACTTGCTTGCCAGGATATCCAAAAGATTTCCTTAAAACCAATAAACAGTATGCCGATATTGCACGTTTTAATAATCATCAACTGTTGACGTGATACTAGCACCGTCATTATGTTGTTTTTTTTCACAATAGTAAACAGTTTTTCTAGAAAATTTCGTAGACTTAATATATAGCAATGCTTCTTTTTATAATTAAATCTCATTTAAAATATAATTTTGTTTTACGTTATTGAGTAAATCATTCAAAAATATTAAAGAAAGTGTCAAACAGGAATTTATATAATACTTATCTTATTCTAGTAATTTTGCAATTAGAGTAGTTACATTTATGCAAATACTTAAACTGCCGCTGCTACAGAGTTGTTGGCGGAGAACTAAGTCTATTCAGGAGGAGATTTGGAGGTTCATCAGTTACGTTTTAGCCATCACTTCATATTCCAAGTGTGGTGATTACTTTTTATAAAATTACCCTTGAATTGAATCAAATTAAAACATACATAAAAAAACACAACAATATTAATTAATTGCTGTTTCACTTACAAACAAAAAAAAAATTTTGATTCAATTCAAAGGTATTATTTGGGTAATTTCATAAAAACAACGAAAAAAATCTTAGTAATCGTGACACTTGGAACAATAGGTTGTATGGCTAAAACGTAGCTAATAACCCTCCAACTTCTCAAAAATTGTGTAGGCCCCATGCATCAAACACAATGGTGTTTAAAAATGGTTAACTTCAATTTTTATAGGTATACAGGTTGTATATAAAAAAATACTTTTTATAGGTGAAATACATATTTAGATACTGCAAGAACTATAAACTATATTAATTAGAATTATAACTATTTTAAGATGATAGTTCTTTCAATTATTTACATGAAAAGAGAAAAGTACTGATCTGATTTCGATATTTTTTTATGACACCAGTTCGGAACTATATCTAATTAATAGAAAGTACGCTAAAATCGGCTCATGAACCATGACAAAGTTACGGACATAATATATGTCTTTTTTTGTTGTGTAATTTGTTAATAAAACCTTTTATATATATCACACTAAGAAAGTTTATATTAAAAAGGTCTGTGTTGTTAGTGGTTTTTAAACGTTGTGCAACTGGAAGCTGCGGCGGCTGACAAAACTTGCACAGTGTATCGTAATACAGTTTCGTAAGGCGTTTTTCCTGATCTTGACATTGATTGTAGGTACTTGGATACGATATAAAATTTATTTAACTACTACTATGGGAATATTAATCGTTTCAATGAGTGTCGCTATACGACTTCCATATTAATGTGCTGACTATTTTGTTTAAAAGATATCTATTCCTCTTAAAGTAATACTAGTTTTGTCTTGTCATTGGAATAAATTTGAAATGTTACAACATGTATAATTTATACCAAGATAGTTTATCTAATGATTTTTAGATGCCATATTATTTGTAAACGAACTTTTCTTCATCTTTTTTTAATATCTTTGCGTTTCTTTTTTTTTATTAAGTTTTTAATATATTTTTTTATAATTCAGCAATTGGAATCTTTATGCCAGTGAATTGCCTTCATTACGCCTTTAACTGGTTAATAATTCCATATTGATTAAGAGTAAAAAATGATGCGAAATCAAACATTCGCAAAAGGTACGACATGGAAAAAGTTTTTGTTCAAACGACGACGTTCAGACAAGAACTTAAAAATCTTTTATGTATTCTACCTATCTATCTATCCAATTCCTGTTATGAATGAAATGTAACATTGTTAAAATATAACGGTTCTGATACGAGTAGGATGCCGGAATATTTAAGCGGGAAGAAACGTGACCTTGACCCTAGAGCATAGGCCTAACCTGCCCCAAAAGCGTGGAGTTAAAAGTTGGCGGTCGATATAGGGGAGAGCATTGTGTTCGCGCACGCGCCATTACTCGCCCGCCCAATCGATATGCCCGCCCGCCCACGTGACGCAACGCATTTGCGGGGATTCTTTGCGGACAACTTTCTTACCGTTTACATTACACTTGTTAAAGATGTCGCGTTCCAGCTTAACGTCATCACATGAAAACAATCTGTTGTTATTATAAAAAGTTCACAATGTCGAGGAACTTTTTTTTAATTTCAATTTTTGAACTTTTGGACTGACTAATTCTTCATTGTTAACATATTATGACAACGTATATAATATGCTCTTATCTCATTGGAGCTGAGCAGATTGACAATGTTCTTATATTAAGTCTGGGCGTAAAGATATGACCCACCAGTGTCTCGCGAAAGAATATTGAATGAGCCCTGATGCATTAAATAGTTCCTCGACTTACTACTAAATAATCTTAGCATTATCTATATTTCTCTATTACAGTTAAGAGGTGGATCCCAAGATCGGAAATTTTTTTCGAAAGTTGGGTCGGAGCCCATTCAACTTCATATACAGTGACTTCAAAGACGCTGTAGTCCTTAGTCTAAATAGATCTTACCGTATATTGTAACGATATTAATTTTAAAAACAAAATTGAATATCGAATCGAGGAAAAAAACATACTTCTGGTTCTAAGAAAATATCCTCTTATTAATGAACCTTACACATAGGTAATACTCGTAATTCAGTCTGCCCTACCAAGTCTGTCTACTGTGTGTCTGATCGCAATAAACTACACCAACTAAACGGATTTAATTTGTTTTTACTAATGGATAGGGTATTTCACTAGGTAAGTTTTTGTGTTGTTTTCTAAAGTTTTGTTAATATTGACTGAAGAATGGCATTTAGAAGTTTTAATTCAAGACACGGCTAACACATTTATTATTCGTTAATTCAAGACATATGAGTATGCCAACGACGTAATTAATCTTTGCTAGTGTCTTAATTGCGATTTTATTAGCAAAATGTAACATTATATTTAAGCATGAATTGTGACAACATATGCGGAGACAGGGTCCTGATTGACCCGACTGTCATTTATTTATTTATCTTCTTCTCCATTTCTTGTTGTTTGTATTATGTTGTTTTTCTTGTATTATTTTTTTTGTATATGTATTTAGTTTGTGGGTCAATAAACGAGTTTTCTTTCTTCTTTCTTTCTTTCTTTCTTTCTTTCTTTCTTTCTTAATGCTCTGATAAATTAATTATGCTTAAAAGGATGAGTGAAATAGAAGTGGACGAAATAAATTTTCATGAAAACATGTAATATTGTAATAAACAGTAGACAAGTTTATGAATAATTCGGCAAAATATGTGATAAAAAATTAATAGATTCAAAGCTATCCTTGGCTCCCTCCACGAGTAAGGGCTAAAAGCGTAAAGCTACCTCTAAAATTCACAAATTTTGTTCATTTCTCCTATTAACTATAGGGATAATTTGTAAATATGTGAGACCCTTAGTAACCGAGGGTTTTAT